CCTCTTTAACACCTTCCACATTTGCATACGTTTTTCCATTAAGATGGTGTTGCAGCGAACAAAAAAGATGGTAACCTGATGGTTCCCTATCTGGAGAATGTGGTGGGTGGGGAGAACTTCCCAACCCAACTCTGTAATCTTATGTTGCGTCAAACGTGCCACATGTGAACGTGCATTGTCGTGGAGAAGAAGAACACCTTTCCGATTGACGAGTGAAGGGCGTTTCTTATGAAGGATTGATTTAAACGTTCCAGTTGCTGACTATACATCTCTCCTTTGATGTCCCACCAAATGCAAAGCCTCACTTTCTACAGATGGAGTCCAGATTTTGGGGTCAGAAGTGGTTTTTCTAGGACTGAAAATTATTTTGGCGTTTAATATTAGCATAGAGAATCGATTTTTCATCACCGGTGACAATTCTGTCCAAAAATGATTCACGCGCATTACGCACCAGAAAAGACGAAGCAACGTTCATATGTTGAAAACGATGATCATCGGAGTGTTCATGAGGCACCCAAACACCTTCTTTGTGGAGTTTTCCCATATTCCTTAGATGTTTCATGAGGGACATGCAATTTCAGGGCCATTTCACGAGTGTGTTGCCTTGGATTCGACTCAACAGGCGTCTTCAGAGCATCAATATCAATTCCAACATGTCGGCCCCTACCATTTTAAGGCTAAAGTCACTTGAACGAAATTTGCTGAATCATCGTTGATACATACAAACGTTCAAAACATTTCCATAAACTTCTTTGATATTCTTTGTGGTTACAGAGGTGTTGTTTCCCTTCTTGTATTCAAACAGCACTACATGCCGAATGTATGTCTCGTCGTGTGCCATCACTATAAGGGATTAGAGTATATTAAACTTTAAACATTATATGGGCTACAATAAAGTGACGTTTAGGCGGTTTGTTTAACTATTATACGTAATGTACGTTTTTTTTTGGAGATGATTAATGAAAGTATTCCAAAACGCGACATAAATTTCTTGACGACCTAATACCTACCATCATGGGTGCTTCTCACCAACTCTCAATATCTAAATCAAATTTCTTTACTAAGAATTGCTCTAATAACTCTGCTTGAGGTTTACCTTTCTGATCTGACAAAAATGGGTATTTCTAAGAATATTTTGGAAGTTAAATCAATCAACCTCAGCAGACTAGATTTAAATCTGTTTGAATTAGCACGGGGTTTAGTTGAAATACAAAATAATAAAAATAAACTTTATTTGAAAACCACAAGCACAGATTATATTTACAGAATCTACAATTAAACCTTTATTAGATCTTACACTAGCTGATAATGAGATCCTAGGCCAATGTGTTATTTAATTATACTTTATTAGTTGGTGTTAGCTACGTCTGAAGTATTTTATCCCTAAAATATTACACATCTTTATCCATTTTAGACTGAACTTCAGGTCTTAAAATTGCCACAAATACTAACTGTTTGCATAAACTTACGAATATCTTTAGAACCGCTCAATTTACACAACTTCCAATAATTTAAACCCAAACAACCAAACATAAAATATGGAATATTACAATATCTGATATAAACACAATTAACCAATCTCTGCAAGAATCAGGGCACATTCCAAAATTCAGCGTTGTAATTATCATAATGTCATGGTTGGTTCAGCATTTATTGTAAATCTGGAGCTCTTGTGTTGACTTTGTTGGCATTTCGAAGATGTTCGTCAGGTAAAAGAAACTTTTTCAGAGGAACTGGAATTTGCACAACGTTGAGAGATAAATACACTAAATTAAAATCACTGTAAAAACACAACATTGAAATAGAAAGAAATTTATTTAATCTAGCGACATTTCGAGCAACAGCTGTTTGTCAGGTTTAATTTCTTTTTCATATTAAGCCTGAGGAAGAATGGTTGCTCCAAACGTTGCTAAATAAAACCACTTTGTTTCTTTCTTAAACGTTGTGTTTTAACAGCGATTTTATTTTAAAAGAAAAGAGTTACTTCAGGCACATTTAAAGTAAACTGTAAGTAACTTATCGTAAGTGTCATGTCCCTCATAGAACCTGCCACACTGCATTTTTCAATCTCAACGCTCTTTCGGGCCGTTGAGTGTGTTCAACCAGCGTTGAGGCAACACTGGAAATCAACGATCACAAAAGTTGACTTTAGAAACAGAGCGTGCCAACAATGAGTGTCAGCGATGAATTTTTCATCCTGCAGACTATTTTCGTTCTACTGTGCTAGGATCTCCTAACAACTGAATTAACATGAGACAACGTTGCTTTACAACATCTCCAAGCTCCAACAACTAACTTACAAAATAACAAAGTTGCTTACAAATTCAGTAAACTGCATTATTTTTTAATCAACGCTAAAGTTAAGAAACTTAAATTAAACACATGTTTTAGAATACACTGAAAACAATAAAATGTTGATTGATTATGCACAAAGCCACACAATGGGCTATCTGTGCTCTGCCAACCACGGGTATCCAAACCCGGTTTCTAGTGTTGTAAGTCCGCAGACATACAGCTGCGCCACTGGGGGGCACAATAAAAAGTGATACCGCAATAACAACTTCTAAATTTTGATACTTTCTTTCCGGTTTCCCGGCGGGTCAGAGGTAAGTTCCCAGACTTACAACGATAAAATACAACATTTCACTGCATACGGTGGACTTAGCGTTGATAACCCATAATCTAGCTTTGTGCTACATAAAACAAAAAAACAACCAACAACAGACATTTTCTAGAATTAGGTTTTTACATCTAGTTCGCATCATAGTGTTACGTCTCCGTTTGTTAATTGATTTTTCCGTAACTTCGTTCCGACGAAACTTTAACGACACAAATCTTTACTTAATAAAACTGGTTTATTCTTTCCGAATATAACTTTACGATACACTTAATTTCAATATTCGCGCTAAAACAAACACTATAACGAACGAACGTTAACTTCAACAATACCCTGTGACTGCAGTTCAATTACTCACTATCTACACACACATTACATTAATCCCGTAACGTCTTGACCGTCTTATGTATAAAAGAATACCGAAGTCT